CGACCACTCTGCACATGGCTCAGACGAAAGCGGCGCGGAAGATGGCGGTCGCAAGAGCAAGAACTCCAGCGTCAAGGGCGGCCCTGACGCCTGTCTCCTAGAGTGCCCCGACAGCTGTGGTGGAGGAAAACAATGTTGTGACCCCAACACTACCGGTCCCAACGGTCCATCATCATAAGCATCGATTGTTTCCTTCTGTTGTTCACAGTACCCGACGCATTATGTGTCAACTTTCTTTATTGTCTGGGAGGATATTTGTACCAAAAGCTAAGGCGCGAGGTTGTCATCGATCGCTGGGTGCGCGTAGAGAGTCGGATGAAGTTTGATTGCATCGTTATGTATTCGACGAGTAGATGAGGTAAACCTAATTAAAAGATATCACGAAACGTGACATGCGTACTCGTATCCCCAGGCCTTATCTCACCGTTTACACCAACCACCCAACTAAATTAGTAGCTGGCAGGTCGCGTGTCTCACTTGCTCCGTGCTGATGCTGTGGGTAGTATACCCAAGTGGGCAACATCTCCACTCGCGCCCTGTGACACGAAGCACTCCAAGCATATACCAAGCTAATACTATGGAGCTTATGTGGGCACAAGGATAAGCAGCTTCCAGATCTGTGGGTTGAGCCGTGGGTACCGGCGTACCGCCATGCTTGCTGCAGGAGTGACCTTCTGGAAGCCTCAACGACAGGCACACGGAAAGTCGCAAGAATCGCATAGGCAAGGGAAAGCCCGGGATTAACGCGGGGATTGCGCGCTTAACCAAGGGCCATGTAGGCATCCCGAGGTTCAGGCGCGCCACTGCGCCGCTGACAGATTGATGTGTGTCGGTAACAAAGCTTGACCGCGCCTTCCGTGTCTGGGCGCTGCAGCCCAGCCGTGCTTGTAACGGAAATTGCGTGTGGTGACGGAATGGACATGATTGAATCTCAGGAAACATCCTCCAATGCAGTGCTTTCACGTTCACATCACAGCGCTTTCACAGTAACGAGACACACGGCAATGGCGACTGTCCAGTTATCACGCTGCCAGATCATCATCGTCTTACGCCCGTTACTCGCCTGATCCTCGGTCACCGCTATCAGACATTGATCCCACACCAACATCAAAGACCCAACCACCGCTTAAATTCCCCACTAAGCACCTAATAAGCGCGCGATGCGGAGATCCTCCCAGACCCATTGGCCCTGTCGAGGCAGGAATCCCCAATCGAGCGTGTCTAGGCGAGATGACCATGCACGAGAGAACAGCTCCACGGCGGGTCAGAAGCTTATCTCTCTCGGCGTTGCCCGAGCTAGTGTGTACCCGGGACCGTTTAGAGAAGAAACCGAGGTCGTTAGATTCGGCGGACCTGGTCCCTGAAACCGGAGAGAATGGCAGAACTATTACTACTTTCCGCAAATCGGAGTGGGCCGGCCATGCAAATTTTCTGCAAACAGATGAGTGTCTGGAAGGCTGGAGATTGGAAAGATTATGGGTCGGTCGGTGCTGTGTAATGGAAAGTGTTGGATCTTTTGGTTGCAGGATTGCCGATGCCTTCCTATCTTTGTGGCGGCACAGTGGTTAGCATGACTGCAGCTAGACTTGCGTTTGCGGTTTTTTATACGAGTATTGATCATGCCGGGGTGTGCCTTACATCGAAGCGAACTGGCGGACTGGCGAACCACAACGACTGTATTTCCAGGCGAGGGCCCGGCAGCCCGGCACGACATTGAGGTGTGGTAACCAACTACTCTGTCACAAACACCAACGTAAGATCACCGCGTGCCATCGCCGCGTTTGGCAGGTGCTTGCAGGTGTTCCGGGTTGGGGGCGAATCGGTTGTCTGCACGCCGAGCGGGCAGTGGCGCGACTAAGCTGCCAAGGGAAGGCTTCGACAGGCTTTGTGCCGGACGACTATGCTTATCTGGTTAGAACCAGGGCTATCAAGACGTTACATCGGGCATGGCGAGAGTGCTTGTGCGTGCTTGGTCCCACTGCCCTTGAGCGACAGAGGCCAACGTCGGAGCCATTGGGTAGGTGAATGCCATGTGGGTACCGCGTGTGCTCAACGAGGGGGTGGGTTAAATATGGAGGTGTCTTCGTTCTTCTGGTATGACTCCAGGTGTTACCGGATCTCCCTCTCACCCTCTGGTTACACTCACTCTGGGCTGCCTCTCTATTGACCGAATCTTTGGTCGCAATTGAGATCTGAAACCATGGCTACCGCCCACGAGACTACTGCGTACGTTCTGCTTCCCCGTCGGCCCTTTGGTACTCGGGTCCACTGGGATTAATACGGGTTACTGACATGTTTGACAGCGCTGAGGCACTCCAGCACGGCCAAGAGGTCGCTGACAAGCACCCTCACCTCTACGGTGCCACCATCAACGACTCCAACGTTGCCGGCGCGCATGTTTCCACCGAGAAGGACGCTGCGCTCACCGCTGGCTCCCACTCCGATGCTGCTTCCTATGTCCAAGAGGAGGATGGCATTGGTGGCATCAGGCCCACCGCTGAGGAGTTGAAAACACTCCGCAAGGTTGGAGAGCCTCTCCCCAAGAGCGCTTTCTTGGTCGCCATTGTCGAGCTCTGCGAACGTTTCACCTACTATGGTGCTTCTGGTATCTTCCAAAACTACATCTCGCGTCCTCGCAGTGGTGAGGAAGGTCGCGGTGCGCTCGGTATGGGTCACCAGGGAGCCACTGGTCTCACCACCTTCTTCCAGTTCTGGTGCTATGTTACTCCCATTCTCGGTGCCATCATTGCCGATCAGTACCTTGGAAAGTACAACACCATCGTCATCTTCTGCTGCGTCTACATCCTCGGTCTTATCGTACTCACCTGCACATCCATTCCTACCGCTCTGGATCACGGCGCCGGTCTCGCTGGTTACATTGTTGCCATTATCATCATCGGTCTCGGAACTGGAGGTATCAAGTCCAACGTCGCGCCTTTGATCGCCGATCAATACAAGAGGAGACAAATGGTCATTGGCACCGATGACAAGACTGGCGAGAAAGTTATCATTGACCCTGCCATCACCATTCAGAGGATTTACATGATCTTCTACTGGTGCATCAACGCTGGATCTCTGTCTCTGCTTGCTACTCCCTACCTGGAACGCGACCGCGACTTCTGGAGTGCCTACCTGCTCTGCCTCTGCGTCTTCTTCGTCGGACTGCTCGTCCTCGTCCTTGGCCGCAAGGTTTACGTTGTCCGACCTCCTCAGGGATCCATCATTACCGATGCCTTCCGCATTATTTGGATGATGATCAAGAACCGTAACATGGATGCTGCTAAGCCATCTTACCAGGCCGGCCTCGGAAAGACCAAGGTCCTCAACTGGGACGACCACTTTGTCGATGAGGTCAAGCGTGCTCTTATTGCTTGCCAGGTCTTCTGCTTCTACCCCATCTACTGGGTCGTCTACGGCAACTTCTCCAACAACTTCGTCACCCAGGCCGGTCAGATGCGTCTTCACGGCATTCCCAACGATCTGATGCAGAACTTCGATCCCATCGCTATTATCGTTTTCCTGCCCATTGTCGACCAGTGGCTCATGCCCACGCTCCGCAAGCACAAGATCGCCTTCCCTCCTATCAACCGCATTGTCGCCGGTTTCTGGATTGCATCCTTCGCTATGATTTACGCTTGCGTCATCCAGTACTACATCTACCACTCTGGTCCCTGCTACATGACCCCACTAGCCTGCGACGCTGATCTTGTCGATGGCGTTCACCAGGGTAACAACATCCACGTTGCCGCCCAAACCGGTGCCTACATTCTTATTGGTCTCTCTGAGATCTTCGCCTCCGTTACTGGACTCGAGTACGCCTACACCAAGGCCCCGCCCAGCATGAAGTCCTTCGTCCAGTCCATGTACCTCCTCACCAACGCTTTCGGATCTGCCATCTCCGAGGCTCTCAACCCGCTTGTCGTTGACCCCAAGATCCAGTGGATGTTTGCTGGTCTTGCCGTTGCTTCGTTCATCGCTGGTTGCCTCATCTGGATTCTGTTCCACCACCTCAACGAGACTGAGGACGAGATGAACCAGCTTGACCAGGACTACGACAAGGATGAGACCTTGAGGAGGAGCAGTGTGCACGGAGACCGCACTGTCGGTGTCCACCATTCTATCGATGAGAAGGCATAGATGGGGTTGCGGAGATCCCGAAAGGGATGCTAGTATGAAGTTAATGTGCCATATTGCATGGCAGCTATGATACCAAGATGAGAATTCAACTGTTCAAAACAAATTGTCTGTTCTTTGATAACGTGATGTGCAACTCAATGGCTTTCTGTTTCGTCCTCTAGAAGCAGTGATGTCGTTCCAGTCTGAACTGTTCTGCGTAGCCGGACTTCGATTTCTCCTAAGACCGCGTTCCTGTGTTCCACGGTCCACTGTTGTTCGGCAGCGTACAACGAGTCCAGATTGTCTGGTATTTTGTTGGAAGAGCGCTCGGAACCTGCCCAGACCACCGCCAATGAGAGCTACCTAGGTAGCGGGGGGCGCTAAGCCAGCCCCGCATTTACCGTGAAGCCCACTGGCGAAGACACTTTACCCCCATGCACTTCCATTCACTCCAGTTGATTGTTTGCTGTGCAGCGAACGCTATTAGAAAGATGCCTAGATTCGCGTTCCTCATTTCCTCTTCCTAAACGTGCCTTCTCCGCAAATTGTCGACGATCTCGCTTACCTGCTATTCTGGGAGACTAAGCAAGCCTATGGTCACCTTCTAGATTTGGCCTGTCCTAAGCTCGTATACATCGTCACACCTCGTATCGTTTGGCCCCTACGTTCGAGACACCGCTTCCTTCCACCTGTGATACGATATAGCTCTTTTACTCAGACGCGTCAGCTCGTGCGTTCGTTCCTAGCTGAAGTTTTACATGTTTGCTTTTGTGGTGGTGCTCAACCTCCTTCAGCCTCTCTTTCGACCTAGCTAGCTACTCGTCACTTACCACCTACCAACTTTCTCATTCGCATCACGCTACATGCAGCAACAGCCGCTCAAGATGACGTCTACAATCACCACAACACCGACGACGACGTACAACTACGTCTACACAACCTACACAAACGCGTCGCCGAGCCCTTTCACCAAACCCACAGAGTTCCCGTCCATCTTCAGCTACGGCCCTGCAGTAGGATGCGCCTCCAACTCTGCCATGCCCGATACACCCGCGCAGCCTTCCAATTACCCTCTCGGTCGACCGTCCGGCCGCGATGGCGGATGCGTCATCAGCAACGACGCGGACTTCAACGACCATGCTTTCTGGGACATGTACGCGTGCTGTTCTGGAAACGATAGCACCGCAATGGGCAGCCCGTTCCCTTGCACGGCAATGTGCTCGGCTAGCGACGAACAGAGCTTCTTGGAGCTGGGAGAGTGTCTGAGCAAGAGGGTCGACGTTGTTATCTGCACTCCGCCGTTCGACGAGATTAGCAAGAATTCGACGGACCCGGATACGGCTAGTAGCAGCAGTTCTGCTGCACAGTCGTCATCGGCGAGGACGATGAGCGAGAGCGGCCTGACTGCGAGCTCAAGTGGCGATGCGAGCGCGAGTGCTAGCTCTTCGAATGCGGACTCGACGGGCGCTGCCAGTGCGGTGGGTGTTACACATGGTGCGTTTTCGAAGGCTGGGCTGGCGGTATTCGGCATCATGGCGCTCTGCTCCGCTGCGGGCATGTTCTTGTAGGGGGGCACGGGATAGGATAATGTATATTATAACTGAGCTGGTCTTACTTCCGTGTCCCCTTCCAGTACCTTGGTGTTAGCTTCATACAGTCGGAACATAATTCATAAATTGCTGTCATCCGAATGGCGGTGTCGTAGCCTCATTGCATAGCTAGTGCTTTCTTGAAATGGTCCTATTATCATGGACATCTCATCTACTAACATGCTCATGGCTATTTCATAATGTGACGCCTTTATGTTGGTATAAAACGACAAAGAGAAAGGATCGAAGAACCAACGATCACAACTTCCTGGGAATCTACCAGGATGCACATATAGAAAGGGACAAGATGAACATGCAAATGTCAATTGACTTTCAAGAAACACGTAGGTACAGTATTTACAACCAGTCACCTAATCCGCTACCGCCGCTGCTGAGCCACCACACCGAAAACCAAATCGTCTTCGTGATTGATCTCGTCGACCATACGAGTGTCACCCATCGGCTCTGTATCCTTCATGGAACGCGACAAAAAACCATGCTGTGCAATTCGAACCAATGATGCAGCCCCCTTTCTATTTCTTTCTTCTACTTCTTACCGGTCAACTTCACCTGCAGAGGAAGTTAGTATATGTTTCACATGCACTTCGTACAATCAGGACTTACCAAACACCAAATCCATTGTTCCGATAATGGCGACGGCATCGGCAAGCAAGTGACCTCTTGAAATCTGGTCCATGCAGGCCAAATGTGCGAATCCAGGTGCCCTAATCTTGCACCTGTACGGCCTCTCGCTACCATCTGAGACCAAGAAGACACCCATCTCTCCCTTGGGCGCCTCAATAGCGCTGTATGTCTCACCAGGCGGAACAGTGTAGCCCTTGCTGAAGAGCAAGAAGTGGTGGATAAGAGCCTCCATGTTCTCCTTCATGGCAGCACGTGGTGGGGGCGCGATCTTGTAGTCCTCAACCTTGACGGGGCCGGCTGGCATGTCGTTCAAGCACTGGTGAATGATGCGCAGGGACTGGCGGAACTCCTCCATACGGCAGAGGTAACGGTCGTAGCAGTCACCGTTGACACCGACAGGGACATCGAAGTCAACCCTGTCGTAGGCGTCGTATGGCTGCGATTTGCGGACGTCCCAGGGAACACCGGATCCTCGGAGCATGACACCGGAGAAAGAGTAGTTGATGGCGTCAGCAGCTGAGACAACACCAACGCCCTTTGTGCGGCCAATCCAGATACGGTTGTCTGTCAACATCTCCTCAGTCTCGTCGATGCGGTCACCGAACTGGGTAGCCCATTGGTAGATATCGTCGAGAAGACCGAGGGGAAGATCCTGCGACACACCACCAGGGCGAACATAGGCTGCGTGAAGACGGGCACCGGAAACACGTTCGTAGAATTCCTAGACGTAATCAGCATGTGCAATCTATACTTTTGCCACGCACAACTCACCATGAGCTTCTCACGCTCCTCGAAACCCCACAAGAAGGGCGTCAGAGCACCGACATCCATAGCGTGGGACAAGACCGACATGAGATGGTTCAGAATGCGGGTGATTTCACCGAACAAGGTACGGATGTACTTGGCGCGGATTGGGATATCGATGTTCAGCAGCTTCTCGACAGCCAGCGAGAAGCACTGTTCGTTTGTCATCATGGAGACATAGTCGAGTCGGTCAAAGTATGGCAGGGCCTGGAGGTATGTCCGGTACTCGATGAGCTTCTCTGTGCCTCTGTGCAGCAGGCCAACGTGCGGGTCGGCGCGCACAATCTCCTCTCCGTTCAGCTCCAGAATCAAGCGCAGCACACCGTGGGCAGCGGGATGCTGGGGCCCGAAGTTGACAGTGTAATGCCGGATCTTCCTGGTGTCCACATGTTCGTCCTCCTCCGCCCGGGTTTCCTGGGCCGTCTCGGCCGGTGCAACGCCACCGAAGTTGGAATCGGTCGGGACCAGTCGTGTCCGCTGGCTCTCCTCGACTTCAGCGTATCGGCGGGGGAATGTAGTCGACAGGCAGCGTGCAATGGGCCGTGAAGGGATTGCCGATCGGAGCTGGGGTCGGGAGGCGTTGAGGCACGCTCGCTTCGCCGCGGGGCCGGCCAGACGCGCAAAGGAGACGGGCATGGTGGTGGTATCTCTCCCTACGTCGAGTATAGGGCCTCAATGGGCGTGTAGAGTGGAGAGTGAGGGCGTGGCGTTGGAGGGGAGCTTTCCTCATATCGATGATGCTACCAGATTGAGTCTACCGCCATTGGCTGAGCGGGTCTTGGCGTGCCGGCGCCTTCCTCGAACTTTTTGTGAACATGGAAAGTGCTCCCCTCCGAAAACACCAAACTTGACCCCAACACCGCAACCATGTCGACGCCGAGTGCACAGGAGCAGATCAAGCGCAAGGTACATACGCGACTTGGAATACGGGGTTGATCTTCCGCTAATGCTACGATTAGACGCTTGGAGTTGGTCCAGAGACCGTCACCAACCAGCAGTCTACCGACTTCCCAGGACACTGGCCGGGCGAGAACCACGAGTGGGACTTGGAATACTTCAAGGAGGTATGCGCGACCAGATTCACGTCAAAAATACTTGACTACATACTAACCAAAGCTTCAGAACTTCAACGTCACCTTCCACAAATTTGTCCCCAACAACGCCGAGTTCTCTCTCACTGGTATCGACACCTCGGTCGCAAACGCCTTCCGCCGCATTCTCCTCTCCGAAATTCCTACGCTCGCCATAGAAGACGTCTTCATCTACCAAAACACATCCATCATCCAAGACGAAGTGCTCGCCCACCGCCTCGGCCTAATCCCCCTCTGCGGCGACCGCGAGGGTCTGCGTTGGTTGAAATGGTACAAGAAGCCCACAGACGACGACGAGGGCTCTGGAACACCCTCAGACTACAACACCATTGCGCTGCGATTAGACGTGGAATGCACATGGCAAGAGGGCGGTCTGCAACGAGCAGTAGCTGGAGAGACCGATCCGGATAAACTCTACGTCGGCCACAATGTCTACGCTAAAGATATCGTCTTCCAACCCCACGGCCGTCAAGAGGAGAAGTTTGCGCAAAGCGAAGGGAAAGAAATCCGGTCTACCAACCCAGATATCCTGATCGCAAAGATGAGGCCAGGGCAGAGCATTTGTCTCAGCATGCACGCTATCAAGGGTATTGGACAAGACCATGCCAAGTTCTCCCCCGTCGCAACGGCTTCGTACCGCCTTATGCCTACCATCGACATCACGAAACCCATCATCGGCGCCGACGCAAAGAAATTCGCGCGCTGCTTCCCGCGGGGCGTCATCAAGCTCGACAAGGTCACTTCCGAGGATGCTCAGAAACACGCCGAGCTGGAAGGCAAGGAAGGCGAGCCCAAGGCTGTAGTCGAGAACGCCATGAACGACACCGTCAGCAGAGAATGCTTAAGACATCCCGAATTCAAAGACAAAGTGAAGCTTGGTCGGATACGAGACCATTTCATCTTCAAGGTAGAAAGCACTGGCCAGTGGGAGAGCGACGAGCTGTTTTTGGAGAGTGTCAAGCTGCTCAAGATCAAGTGTCAGAGGATTAAGAGAGGGTTGGATGAGATGCAAAAGTAGGAAGCTCTTTAGAACGGGAGTGTGGAAGAATTTGCATTGCAATGGCGTTTTAGGGCATTACGGTGGCGGGTTTCGAAAAGTCTACGATATCATGGAGCGACTTCTTTTGCATGGATTAGTCCATCTGGCATTGTGCCTTTGAGCGGTTGTCAAAAGGCATAATAAATTATTACACCATACTTTCAGATTGCATCTCGCATTAAGGGAGCAGGTTTCATGTGTATGATCTGGTACCTCAAACACAAAACGTATTCAAGGACGTTGATGTCTATGCTAGAACAAGATCGAAGTACAGTCTATAGGGAAAAACAAGTTTGCTTCTATTGATACAACTAGACATTCGTAATTGACGCGTATTTATACACAAATCATAGCTTTACAAAAGACGAAACCGACAAGTATCAACCGGGGTATATGAGAGTTTGTCCACCTGGGACACCTTGCTAAATGAACATCAAAGAAAGTCGTATAGGGGTTGTGTCTCGTTGACCGTGACAGAATGCATGGGTATGTTCGTAGGTCATCCGCGTAGAATCATTGCCACGAGAGCTGGGGAGGTTTCGACGAAAGGACATGCTGACGGCTACGAGAGCTCTGCCAGCGCATCGCTACACAGCTTCTGCACGCTTTCAGGGTTGAAGCGTGGGCGCCATGTCATATTCTTCCTCTTCTGCTGCAGCTTCTCCCGTTCCTCGTCTGTCAGCATGCAGCTGCTGCGAGGATCTTTGAACTGCGACTTGGTGGGGGATGGCGAAGGAGTCGGGAATGCGAAACGCACACCACGGACACCGGTCGTCTCTTTTAGGGTCCGCACACTAGTAAGATGGCCCTCTACCATGCGGACAAAGGCGGGGGTGCCACTCGGCAGTTGGACCCCTGGTTTCGATCGCACATGCTCTGTGGTAAGAGGTGATAGGATACTGTCGTTCTTGATGTGGCGGGACAAGGGTCTGGGGTCGGCACACGAGTCCCATTCCACGTTCTTGCCGGGTGGGGATGGAAAGCGGAAGTTCCTCAGCGCAAGATCTGGGTCTACCTCCAGGTCGAAGGCGTAGGAATCTGTGCTTGAGGTCGAGCTGCGATAGCTGCTTGTTGAGTCAAAGGACCTGACTCTGGATGACCGCCGGAACCAGGTCTGTTCGTTTGGAATGGTCGCAGAGTCTGGTGTCAGAGGCTGGTCGTCGTCCTCCATCGGCGCAGTGGAAGATGGCGAAGGTGGTGTAAGAGCGACGATGGTCTCATTGTAGTACTTTTCCGCCGCGTTCAGTTCCTTGTAGCGGTTTTTCAGCGTCGCTTCTCTCGCCAGTGTGTCGTGAGAGAGGGCGATGTAGAAGTTCAGATAAGCAGAGTGGATGGGATGGATCTGTTATACGTTAGCACTTGCTTTTCGTGTATTGCGCTTGCCTTGGCGACTTTGAATG